GCTGCCCTTTGTCATCGGCGGGGGGCGGGGGCCGCCCAGCCGTGGCAGCGGGCGGGCAGGCGGCGTTTCTTGAGGCAGCCGGGCGCTTATGAGTGCATTCATTGCCTGCTTAAATGCTTTTCCTGAGGTAGGTGAAGCTAGACTTCGCCCTTAGCGAGCTTCTAGTATATCCGGAAGGTTGGAAAGGGTGTGGAAATGCCATAGGTAATATTGTAATTTGAAGGGCAGGTGTAAGATGCCTCTTCCCAGGTTGTGGGAATAAGTGGCATGCTTTAAGATAGGATCTTCTGACAGGTGCTTCCGTCTGAAACAGTGGCATACAGAAATCCACAAAAGATTTTTACTCTTTTACCATTTCCGAATATCTTGCTATAGAAAAATAACATGCACTTTAATCATTATTACTCATTAGAAGCTATTTTTGATCCACCGGAATGTGCTAGAAATATAATGGGATGCTTCTGCCTTTAGCAGTTTGTTCTTAACCTCTAAGGTGGTGTGTATTTAATACTTCCTCCCCTATTATCTCCACCCCAAATCATGTAGGTAGGTTGGGTGAGACAGTGACTGCAAAAGTTATCATTTGATTTTCTGTGGTCAAAGATGGACTTGAACCTGGGCCTCTTTATCTCATCCCAGTGCAAAATTTTAAATGTAGGCAGAAAACATCTTATCCCTAGGGCTTTGAACTGTATCTCATTTAAACCAGTCAACCTACTTCCCTGTGTACTCTTACCTTACCAGGAACTTGTATTCCAGCAGGTGGTGCATTTGTGTGCTGCCTTGCACACTTGTAGTCCAGTGCTATGCTCTTGAGTTCACTGGAGCTTATTTCTAAAAAGAGTACATGTCAAGGAGGTTCAAGGATGTTTAAGCTTCAGAAATAAATTCTGTGAAACTAATAGTCCATATCAGAGTGCCTGTTTTTTTGTTTGTTTACTAGTCCTGCTTTTATGAGTCTTCACACAAAAAATTCTGCAGGTGTGTTTAAGTCTTTTTCCAAGCCAAAGAAAGCTTTGCTAGTAATATTTCTGTTGTCAGATTGCTGTTAAAGATACAAGAATAGGGCTATTAATTTGGCTACCAATTATACCTAAACTTGGCAAAGTTGGCGATTTGTCCTTATATTGTAGTTAGATAAAATGCCACTTGTGCCCTTTAGAACTAAGACTCAGAAGTGCATGCCTACATTTCCTGTCCTCCCTTAGCTGTTCTTGGTGGCTTGAATATCAGCTGTTTTTATTTACTAGGTGGTAATGTGTTTTTAATTTTAAATGAAATGGCAACACTTTGGCTCAAGTATATGCAACCAGCATTATTAACATATTTAATTGCTAATGGTATACACACTGATCTATGTTCCAGCAACCTTAGGGTTGCTTTTGGTACTGATCTAGTACTTCCAGAATTCTCTCTGTCTGGAAATGAATACAGAGATCCAAGTATGCAATAGAATGGTGTAAATACAGGTAGTCCTCACTTAGTGACTGTTTGAAGTTAAGGTGGCACTGAACAAATGGTACTTACACCCGGTCCCTTAAGTTACAGTTGTTGCAGCATCCCCATGATCACATGATCAAATATTGGGTGCTTGGTAGCCTACCCACACTTACGACCATAGGGTGTTTCAGCTCCCCCCTGCCCACTATCTCCTCCCATCTCTTCCCTTTTGGCCACTGCACAGTGGCACTCAGTGGCCAAAAGGGCACTGGGCTGAAGTAGGGAAGTGGCAGCTGAGGCTGCTGAAGGCCCCAGGCCTCTACTTCAGCCCCAGTGTCGCCACCAAGGAGTGCCCCTGTGCAGGGAAGCCAAAAGGGCAAAGATGTGGGGGGAGATAGGTGGGTGGGGGTAGTTGAAAAGGAAGCAATCCCTTACCTTACTGAGGCTCAGGGCTGGGGAGGAGCAAGCCAGGAATGGCTTGGATCGGAGTGGGTCCTCGCCTAATGACCCAATGGGATTTGGTTAATGAGAGCTACTGGGATCACATGATGTCACACTTTATAACTGCATCGCTTAACAATAGAAATTCCAGTCCCAATTACCTTTGTAACTTGAGAACTACCTGTAACATGATTTGTTTGTTCTTTTACCAGTTGAGTCCTTGCTAGTTCTTTCTAAGAAGCAGATTAAAATTTAAATATTGCCTGGTTGGTTTAGATTAGTCTGATGTCTAAATAAAGACTGTATGTCAAAACTATAACAAATATGGGTAAGGTGTTTCTTACTGAGAACTATCTAAAACAGTGGTGTTAACCAAAATACTAAAGCAGTTCGTGTCTAAATTATGTACATATAAGAAAGACATTTTTAATAAAAATCCAGAAGATTAACTGCAGCACTCTGACACTATATAAACCAGAATGCTTTGACTATATTTTGTGAGGTATTTTATTTTTAGTCAGTAGTTCTTCCCGAAATATCAGGAGTCACAAATTCCTTTTCACCAAATATTCCAGGTGCTTAGGGCAATAAAAAAAATATAGATGAGCCCCCATATTAATTTGTATAAGGCAGCTTTGCCCTAAAATGAGCTTGTAATAAGGTTGAAAACAAGCTACAGTATATCTTGGAATCTTTGCCCCTTGTCTTAAAAGAATTTAAAATAGATTGAATCCCTATTTAAGCCTACAATAATGATACACTGTAATGATAATAATAATACAATAATGAGCTTAAAAACTTGCATTTTTAAAAATTGAAAAACTTGGAATATTAGGATGCTAACATCTCTGCAAATTCCACAGCCTGTACTTATATGAGCAGTTTTAAAATGGGTTAATGCAGTTTATTTCCAGATAGGGAAATTAAAGCAAGGAGGTAAGTGCATATAAATCATTCTTTGATGTTAGTTATACATACATATTCTTATTTTGTTCATATGAATATTGCTTGTATATGTACTACTCCTAGGGTTTGCCTGTCTGTTATGAAAAGCTGCTTCTATAACAGCAAACAGCTTAGAGGACAGGGTTGAAGACTTTTTCATATCACACATCTTAAATACGAACTGGTTCTAGAGGAAAAGGCTCTAATCTGTATAGGAAGACTATAGAAATTAAAAAAAAAACCTAGTAAGTTACCTTACACTGATTCAGGACACGAATCTACCTAACAAGTTTGCCTGTTCAAGTTTGTTTATTTCTTTATTTTTAAATTTATCAAGTTTATGGCAAGTGTAGATTGATTCCTACCACCTGATGCTTGATCCTTCTAATTCAAAGAACAAGTGACCTAATCTGAAAACTGCTGCATGTAAAACATGTGCACTTCCACTGAATCTCTTTCAAATAATCAAGTAATCTCTTTCAAATATCCCTAAATAAGCAATAGTGTATGCTCTTAGTGTTGTGCTTGTGAATTCACCCAGAATCTGTCACTGGTGTTTTCTTTTTCTGAAAGGTAGTATAGATGAAGGTGGAAGTAGAACTTCATAAATTCTCAACCCCAAAATAGTATGCACATCAATTTCTAGAGAAAATTACATGTAGTATAAAATATTTTATGCCATTGTGCTTTTTGTCTTCTTCTGTACTATGGTAATTTGGCCATTAAAAGTAATTGGATCATTTATCATTTGAAAAGTGTCACAACACTTTAATGGAGCTAGTGGCATAAAAAGGTAAGATTCTGAAGAAAACAATTACATCTGTTTTTTATGAAAATCAAAAATTGTGGAGTGGATTTCATAGATATTGCAAAATGTGACTTTGGGTGATCTTTTGTGCTGTCTTAACTATGCTAAGGATAGTGCTGAAGAAACAAATAGTAAAGATCAAAGCTTGAATCGCTGTAATGCTTTGCCTAATTTATGGTGTCAAAAAAACAACCACCCTGATTAATCATGAGCCTTCTAAAACACACAGTTTGATGATGCTACAGAGATACCTTTGGATTTCTATGAATAATCATAGAACTGATTGTAGCATCATCAAACAGTGTATTTCAGAAGGCTCATGATTAATCAGGGTGGTGGGTTTTTTTAGCACCATAAATTAGGCAAAGCAGTCCCATGAAAAAGAATATAGCTGGGTAGGAAACAGATCTCCTATACAACATCTTCCAACAAAATGGATTCCCACACAACTTTATCAAAAACTGCCTGACCACTCAACCTACTACAGCATAACCGACATAAGTTATGCCAACAAGGATAACACTGCCATACACTGCCATACCAACAGACCATTACAACCACACAGCATAACCATAGCACACAAACCAACTAAGGCCCTCCAAAACATCTTAAGTAAACCAAAAGACCCAGTAGCCCAAGAAGAAAAAACAGGAGTCATCTACAACATAGAGTGTAAGGACTGTAACAGCAACTATATAGGACAGACAGGCAGAAGACTAGCAAAGCTCATCCATGAACACCAACTAGCAGTCAGAAGACACAATGAAAAATCCTTAATTTCACAACACATGAACAGACTCAACCATAGTTTCAACTGGGAAACTCTGAGCATCCTAGACCAAGCTAAATCCAAAAAGGCTAGGGAATTCCTGGAACCTTGGCGCTCAGACACATCCTAAATTTGTATTGGTGGGACCTCTCTTTGTGGGACCAAGCCAAGGAAATATATGCAGGATTAACAAATGTGTGAACTTTTACATAGTTTAGCTGTATTTAGAATCTGTGTAAAACCAATCTGGATTATTCCAAATGAAAGATGGTAACTATCCATTATGACCAGTTTGTATGATCTGCGTTCAGAAATATGGAATTCAAAAGAGGATTGTTGAGAATACAAACAAAAGTAGTTTACTGATAAAGATGTTGCTAATATATGATATGAGAAAGGTTTGGGAGAAAAAGGGTTAGTGGAAAGAAACCTCAGGATATCTTACTTCGTTGTTTGTTATTTATTTGCTTGTTCAGTTTATATAGCTGCCCATTTCATGTACCTAGCTTCCTCAGTGTAAAGATTTGTTTAGGTAAACAGATGGCATTTTTACATTAGCTAAAATATTTCAGCTGGAGCTTATGAGAATTATTAAGGTTGTACAGGCTTGCATGGAAGAGAGAAAAATCATTTGTTCTTGGATTGGAGGGCAGTCTAGCTATGACAGCTATCAGCTCCGGGTTGATTCAGCTGATCTGTCTGGCTAGGCCGGTGTATCCCTTCT